ATCTCTTGTGACACTTGTTTGTATTTTGTTCTGTGATTATTTTATCATTTATTTTCCATTCCCTTTATCATTGCTCGGCTTCAAAATATCCACAGCGTATAACTCGCCACATTTCTCAATTAACATCGAATCAATTTCACCCCAAGTAAGCAGTGAGTTCAAAATTGATCACTCCGAGTCACATTGACGCCCAATGTTTCCCATCGAGGTGTTATCGCGCGATTGCGCGTTTTTTATTTCGTAAAGAGGAAAAACAGCGCGGAGTCGGACGCGCAGTTGAAAAATTTGAATTAATTGGCGCGGGCAAAACGAGATGGCGAAATTGCGCGTAGATTACTTGCGAACTAATTATGGAATGTATTCTCGTTATCTCGGCGAAACACGCGGTTTCGCGATAATTGTCGGTTAACAATGACGCTACTGCTCGTTACCATCGCTCGCTATCAACCGCGTGCAACAAGGACTCCCCCCTCCCCCTCTCTGGTCCTGGTGCCCAGGCGTTTTTATCAGCGCCGCCAACCGACCATTTTGCGATTACGGTATCTCGTCGGGGGATTACCATCACGCTCCTAGCACCTCTCCTTGAATTTTTCAAGCGCTCGAATGAGCTGGTAATCTCGGTTCACCCCGCCCGACACCCCGCATGATAATTCGCGGTTAATGATAACGCACCCTGAATCACTGGCGCGCTATCAACCCGAGATACAAAACACTCGCTTTTCAGCGCATTCCCTAGTTACGTATTGTAAAAGTTGACGCGTTAACGCGCTCCCCGGCGATCAAGTCGCAATATAATTTGACTCCCGGCCGTGTTTCCAATACCAGCGAACGCTCGAGATATCACAAGAAAATTGAGAACGCTGAGAAATAATTAAAGATCGAAACGCACTTGTCGCCCGTGGAGTCTTCGTGCTTCTTGTCAGTCTACAATTTTCTCTGGAATTAATGCTCCCGATTGTTAGCTATCGCATGGATCGCGGCGTGCTGGATCTCGCCCGTAAAAGTGCCCATTGTATCGCAGGTAGCGGCGATCGGATGTAATTTAGACACCGCGTACAGATAGCACGCCTGTCCGATTCGCTCGCGTTTGCATTCGCGACGCTTTACAAGGGAAAAGAGGATTCTCACCTTTCCCCCCCGAGGGCTTCTCGCACGGGATGAATGGCCCTTGTAGCCTAGTCACGCTGATGCGATGCAACGGATGAAACCAAACGACCGCGAGAGAGCCACCGAGCGGAGCAACAGGTGTACAGCACGGAAAGGCGGGCCGGTGGCGCGGCGATGCTAACATGTGCTTGTACTTGCACTCGTACGTAGGGCGATACGTAATGCGAACTAATAATTGCGTCGCGGTTCGCCGCCGTCAGAGCTCGTGGCATTTTCCTTCAATTTTTACTAATAATGCATTCGATGAATTCTCTCCGAGCAGCTTCGACGGCAGACTCTATTTGACGATTCGGATTATTTTGCAAATATTAAGAACATATAATTTTTTTAGTTTTTCAATTAGCATCAATTAGAAACATAGCGATTGTTCTGTTACGCGTTATTGAAAATTAATGTTTTTTTTTACTTTGTCTATGTAATTTTATTTTTGTCATACTTTTGCGATGTTCTTTTTCTAGCAACTAATAGAGTTACCACGCAGTCGCAAAATGCGTCAGAGATAAAAAATTTTCGACGGTGTGGAAAAAAGAAATAGTGGATGAATTTGGAGACGCGCTTCTCTCTCGCTCAGTTTGTTCAGAACAGCTGCCGCAGTTGTTTGGTTGCCGAGTATTCTCGAGGTGTCGAGGAAAGAGGGATAAGCCAGAAGACGTTGGTAGCACGTGCCTCGCGCCGGTTATGCTCGTGAAGGTTACGCACTCACCCTGGCGTATTCCAGATGGACGGGAGAAAAAAAAATCTCCTTATAAACAACTGCGCGGAGCTTGGGTTCGCTAGGGTTTGGAGCTGCTTTTCATGTGTCGCTGCTCATTCGGTTCGGCTTGATTATTCTTCTTCCGAAAACCGAAGACAGTTGTTTTCGTAAGGAAGCGTCTTTTTGTATTAGCCTTTTTATTGCCTTGCCGTAAAACTTTACTATTTCGATAGAAAACAATTCTGCTTATTGATATTTTTTTTTTTTGTAAACAAAATTCGATAATTTTTACCGCAGAGAAAGGTGCTGTGAAATAGAAGTACAATGATTTTAGAATATGCGAAATGTTCCAAACGGAGTTTGCAAATAAAAGTTACGGAAGTGGAAAATTGACTGCACACTTTCTCTACGCGCAATAGACTTTGTAATTAGTAGAATTGTGAACATTATGAACGATACGTTTGGAAATGGTAATCATAATATTATAATCACAAATTAATATATTACCACTAATTGATAGAAAAATTGCTTATACATTCCGAAAGGAATAATCGCGCTATTTGATTAAAAAAAGAGCGCGTGTTAAAATTTTATAAGTTTTACAATTTTAAATATGCGTTTCTTAACAGTCTCGAATTTTAATGCTCTCTCTCTTTCATTATTCCAAAACCTTTAAAATATTTAACGAGACTTGTCATTTCGAAACGCGATTGTTCGCCAATCATTGTGCTTACAACTGTAGCGTAACGACGGATACAAAACAATAACATTTTTTTCGTGCAAGCTGTCCCACAATGCAGACAGAATTAAATATGCTTAATTATTCACGATTATAGAATCGATTGCATTCTATACAAGCCCACAAAGATTATATCGGGATAAAGAAAATATTTCAACCGTCTGGCATTAATTGCTTGGAAGGCATATACCTGGCCGATCCGTCGCCAATAATGCAAGCTATGCAAATTTATGTTGAACGCGTCGGGTCAAATGTCATCTAGGTCGCGGGTCTTGAGTGTTTTGAATTTCCATTCGATTAAGTAACGATCGCGCTAGCGCGACGTCGATTTCGATCCGATAAACCGAATACATTTTATATAAGAGAGAAAAAAAAAGAAGAAAACTCATTAATCCGCGATACATCAGCTTGCAGCACCTGCTAACGCAGCTATCGTGATATCTCGATCTTCCCGTTATATTCGGGATACAAATGATGCATCGCGAATATGACGGTTCTGATTTGTAACGCAATATATAACTATATCGAGCGAGATGTAACAATTTTGTGTAATTATCGCCGCGCATAAAAAAGAAAATATTTAGGGTTGGGTAAGTTAACTTTTTTTTAAATCAAGTTAAGTTAAAGTTAACGGCCTTGAAAATTTAACTTGGTTAGGATTAGTTAAGATACAAGTTAATCCATAATGAAATTAATTGAATTAAATGTTAAGTTAATAAAAAAAGTAATTGAAAAGTTAAAAGTTAAATTCGTTTTATTTAATGATTTTAGGGTTTCACAGTCTTGCAAATAACGGAAATAACAAATATACATTTTATTTAGAAACATACTCTATATACATATTTTGTTCGCATACGAAACGGGCCATTCTGAGCTTTGTGATTGGTCGAATTCTTCAGTCTAGAAATATACGACCAATCACACTACACACTGAATATGGCCCGTTTCGTATGCGAACAAATTCGCGCGAGTTCGAGAATCAAGGCCCCATATAATGTAGAGTTACTTGTAGGCAGGCCTCTCGCGACGCCTTTATTTATGGCTAACTTCAAGAAAGTTAATAGTTGCCGATAAAATGTAACTAAATTGAGTTAAAAGTCAAGAGTCTAAAATGTAACTAAGTTAAGTAAAAATTATTTAACTTTTTAACTTAACTTTTATCTTTTTAACCAGACACTAGCCAACCGTGAATATTTAGTATATTTTTTTTTATTACTTTCCGACGAGAAACGATGAAAGAAATCTGTTTGGCAGATTGAAATGCACAATTTTAACGTGCAGCGCAGTCGCGAGGCCGATTGCACGCGGCGTCCACACGAGGCGGGTAGAGCCACAAACGTCGTTCCTGCGAAACTGCGCTGTTTAAAAATTCCACGCTCGTAGCGCGGCTCGTTGCGCCGTTGGCACGTGAATTTTCAATAGATCGCTTCGCGCCCAAGACGCGCCGCTCGCTCGTCACGTTGTCAGCGATGACGCTTATCTTTGAGCCGTACGAACGCAATTTTCGACGCTTTTCGCGATTCTCAAAAGTTATAAACTTTTCGCTGTAAAAATCTAGAAAACGTTCCTTTTACAAAATTTATTTAGAGGAATGCTTTCTTAATGAATATGAATAACAATTCTAATATATCGATTGGGAATACTTGGGAAATAATTTTCTTTCGATTTGCGGTTTAATGTTGACGTTCGAAACTCATAAAAGTCGTAAAATTTTTAATTCTGCGCGCGAGGAGAGGCGGACGATGACGAGGTAGTGAAAGTAGCACGCCGTAAGATTCCATCTCTCGTTCGCCTCAGCGTAAACGCCATAGAATGAGCGAAGTGACGACGATGCACCTGCACCTGCCAGTTCTGCGGCAGCAGTTGCACCCCTCTTTACGAACGATGCTATCTAAGATGGCTATGCGTGCCCCCTTCGTTTCGCCTTTGCTCGCCTCGCCGTTGCTGGTAGCCGCGCGCGACACCTGACGCACGTAGGTACGCGAACGCCGCTCGTCGCACACGTGCAGAGCGTACTCGCGGCACTTGCACGCGAGCGCGCGCCTCACCTGTGAGAAGCAACATTAACCTGCCTTCTCACACATAGGAAAAGCTACGCGCGCGCTCCAACTCTCCTCTTCTATCCCCCGCTTTTGCCCCGCCGCTGCCTCTCTTTCGGTCGACCGACCCTGCGAATCGTTTCAATACGCCTTTGTTCTAAATATGTAAAGAGACGCGCTGCTATTAACTTCGGGAATGATATTGGTATCGTTCAGTATCATTGTTGAGCACCGGTGAGGATATTCAACTTTCCTAATGTTGCAAAATCGCGGACACGCGATTTGGAATTTGCGCGAAAGTTATTCCTCACGCAAGATGTCGCAGGTTGTTTAATTTGTATTCGCTCGTTTTCTTTTCCAGATATACCGGCGCAAGTGCCGCCGTTAACACCTGGGACCAACAAGAAGATGACCGAGGCTCTGGAGGCCTCCTTCGCGTCTTGGGAAAAGGAACGAGTCCGCCTGAACATAACTAAAGGTCAGTTTATTCCCGATTAAGTCTCGAGCCCACACAGGCTTGATTAAAATAATTGTATTATCTTCTCATTTTCTAATCGTGCAATATTACATAATTACAAGACACGCTTTAGATTCATTAGATGCACGCGCTCCAAGCCAAATTGCATTTCTTTATTAAAATAGTGCGCGCAATTTTTCAGCACATTTTTCTAGAATTTTTTACAAACTGTACAATGTTATCAAAATTATAATTGCGCATTTTTTTAAGTCAATTAAATTTTCAAATGCTTTCGTTAAACTCTGCAATTTACAGCGAAAATAACTGAAAAAATTATTCTGCGATTTTTTTACAACGGACATACGATTCAGAATTTACGATCTTTGCATCGCCTCACCGCGCAAGTTGTTAAAAAATCGCTGCGAATGTAGAAGGGGAGAGAACGCGCGCGCGCGCGCGCACACACAGAACAAATACATGCATACGTGCGTGCTCGCGTGCATGCGTGCGTGCGTGCGTGCGCGAGAGACGCGCGTAGATGCGGAGACGCGGGTGCGCGCGATGTGACGCGATGTGCGACGAGGCGGCGATGTGCAGGAATTGTGAATGTGATGTTGATGGTTCTGATGGGGAGCCGATGCCACACATCCGGTATGCGCATTCAGAGCCACGCGGGTGTGACGTTACTTCCGGTCTACATGCCCCGGGTTCGTACCCTCCAGGCCAGATCACCTACAGTCTGACCTCCGTGAACCTAACGAACAACCTCCTCCTCGTCTCGTCATTTCACTTCGCTGCCTGAGACACCATCGCGGTCGGCGTCGGCGTCGCGTCGCGTCGGCTGCCCCTTTTCACTTCTAACCGCTTGACTCCGTTCCTCTTCCCTGCATTTTTCAATCCGAAAAGCACTAATCCAGTGGACGATAATATTTTAAGTCGATTGTTTTGTTAAACTTTTTTTTTTTATATATATATAGTGTGATCATGTTGACAACATTTTCCTCCTTTTCTCAATAATATATTGACAATTAATAATTTTCTCTGAACAAGAAACATAATTGATCTAAAAATTGTGGGTTGACTTTTTGCATTGGGCAAAAATCTTATCGAGCGACTGATAAACTCTCGAAAATCTTTGATGTTTATGGTTACATCGCGGGATGTGCACTTACTATAGAAGAGAGACGCAGCGTGCATTCACAATTACGTTCTGACGCGTCATATCGCATTCGCTATTATGACTTATTCAGAATCTATCTCTTTTGAATAATAAATACGAGCATAAAGATCCTTCGATGTATAAAGATGAACATTTCTACGAATCCTCGTGACTTTCGAGCCGCTCTCGTGGCGTCGTGTGTTACGACAGGCACCTCAGGTATTACAATCGGTACCTCGAAATCGCAGTCATAAATTCCGATTTTAAGAGATCGTAAAGTGACACCTGCTTGTTTAGCTGTGCTCAGAAAACCGATAATCGGTCTTGATGACTTTTATTATTTAACACTCTTCAAACATCTCAATCGTCGCGACGGCAGATATCAAAATCGAGAAAATATGCAAATTTTATTTTGACATCTAAATAATATTACAGAAAAGTAGGATACAATTAAAAAATAATATGCGATTGATTAGTATCTTAGCGATAGGATAAATGTGCAGCGCTCGCGCGGATTTGTGTTGAGATGTGAAGTGAGAAAGAGAGTGTAAAGTCTGCTGACAAGAAATAAGTTAGGCAAATATCGGTACGATCTTCAAACACGGGCGGTCGCTTTGAACGCGCCGTGCCGTTAGACACTCTTGTTGCCTCTCTCGGTGCTCGCTCATCTTTTTTTCTATATTTATATCCTATCCTGCGCGAAAGACGTCAATTCAGTTCGTACCTCGTCGATTCTGTGAATAACGTCGCTCCTTCTATTGTTGCAATTCAATTTTCATCGCAAATCTGCATTTCTCGTCATACAATTAAAAATAACTCCCAGAAAAGACCACCATTCGATTTGTCACCGCGTACTTTGCGTTGAATCTCGGGCACAATTTTTATTCAGAAAACAATTACAACATTTACTTAATTCAATAACATAAACGTATAAAAATATGTGCAGGAAGTTTTAGAAAAAAAATATGAAAGAGAGAAATACCCCGAAACGCTATATGTTCGCCGAAAATGTTTTTCCGAGACACCCTGTATTTCGATCTTTCGTGAAGATCTTTACGTGGATAAACATCGGATCTTACGATCATCTTGCTCACGTCGCTCACGTGCCAAAGGACAACCATAAGATTGCGAGAGCAAAGCTATATACATTAGCGAGTCGCTACGCTGGCAACTTCTGTTTGCATTATGAGCCGAACTGTACTTTTACGCAGCGAGATACCACGAAACAATGCAAGACACGCGTGCAAATATGGGCGCGCACCTCAAATGGGACATTCCGATGTTTCTCGGTATTGCTTCCACCAAAGATGGCCAGGCGTGCCCAACTAATGGTCGCGCCGGACGATGAACGCGTCATATAATCTCCGATGAGTCTGGCTTTTGCAGACGACGGTCATCTGGACGAAGCTAGATGGAGACTTGTTCTTAAAAGTCCCTTTCAATAATCTGGTAATATTACTCTCCGGAATAATGATTTTTCGTTAGGGTTCTCGTATCGAAAACACAAGCTCTTATCGCTCATCAAGCATCGACATCTACGTGATAAAACTCTTTAACTTTTTAACCTCAAAATTGTTGACAAGGATAAGCGATGATTTTCTTCCCCTGATTTTCGAATTAATAATAACGAGGGTACAAGGGTCGCCAAGGATTTTTATCGTCCCGGAACACACGGCGATAAGAGGTCGACCTTTGGGGAATACAATTCACCTAGGTAGCCGCTAAAAGACAATCTTTTTTTTCTCCAGACCCGAGGCAATGGTCGGAAGCAGCTGTCGCCCACTGGCTGCACTGGGCCATCGGGGAGTTTTCTCTGGAGGGTGTGGCGATGCAGCCGTGGCAGCACATGACCGGGAAACAGATTTGTGCCATGGGGAAGGAATCCTTTCTAGCACGTGCCCCCGCTTTCATGGGCGACATTTTGTGGGAGCATCTCGAGCTTTTGCAGAAAGGTAAGTGTCGAACGTCGTCTCGCGTAGAAATGATCCAATTCATCAATCTTTTTCGTATTTACAAAAGCGAAAATTGTTCATTTTTTTTTTTGGATTCTTACATTTTTATTTACAATATATAGCTTGTGAGAAAAGAAGAGTTTGAAAAGAGGAAGTTTGATGAAGTAGATCATATTAACTAAAAAATGTTTTTTAAATATTATTTATTGCTTGAATCGACTGGGAGGATTCAGTGTATTAGTAATACAAATAATTTTAATTCTGTGAAAACTGTGCGAACATTTTAGTCTTTGTTTATTACAATGTTATTTAAATCTTTGCTAAATCCGAATTAATTCCGACAATTGAGCCACTATTAATCCTATCTTTATTTTTCTGCTATTAAATTAAAATTAATCTAAAAATCTGAGAAGTTTTATGCAAATTAGAAACGCCTAATTATAGAATCATTCGGAAAATTGCGCGTAGAATTGTGAAATATGTCGAATTCGCCGAACAGAAATTTTACGCAAAACAAGGATTTCTTTGAATCGGAAGCAAAAATTATGTAATCGCATCGATCTTGCATTTCTTGTACACTGGATACTTTCTCGATGACCCCGCGTTGCGGGGTTAATTGTGCAAGAGGTGCGCTCGCTGCGCTTTTTTTTTTGCGGCGAGCACCTTCCGTCGACAAAACCGATCGAATTTCCGTAAAATCGCGATGTCACGGTGCAGCGTGCGAGCAAAAAGACTCCGGCGAACAATGACGAAAGCGATAGGGCGGTACGCGCGGGTGGTGACCATCTCTCTTCTCCTTCCTCCCCTACCTTTCCCCCCCCTCCCCCACCCTGTGTCTCCCGTTTCGTAGCCGTTGAATCGACCGACCCCCCCGTTTTTACGCAGCGCGAAAAGAATGAAAGCGGGGGAGAAGAAAGACAGAGCACCATAGAAACTCTCATCCCGGATATCCGCCGAAATGGTGCAGCGCGCCATTGCCGCGGCCACTTAGACGCGCTTTTCGAGAATATACTCGCGTGCACCAAAGAATTCACTCGAATTTCGATCTCGCGACGTGCACCGTCAATGGCCGAGCCTCTCGATTCGGCCGCCGGGCCCGCCTATTAAATCCTCTATGCTCTTTTATGGTGCGCGCGCGCTGAAAACAGCAAGTCAAGTTCACGGAAAATGCGCGCCCGATCGTTTTTTTGGACAAAGCGAGGAAAATTCAAAAGGAAAATATATATTCTTGTGTTAGCGCAGGGCTTGAAAAGCGCAAGTGGAAGAACCGTGCACGAGCGCAAGCTTCTTTAGTAAATTTATTTACAACTTTAATACGAGCGCGACAATGCGAAGCATGTACGAAGCGGAAAAAAAAATTTGAAACGGAGAAAGAGAGAGAGAGAGATTAGCTGAGAAAGTGAAGAAAGAGGGGCGAAGTCGAGAAAAGGGAGGAATACAGATAGGAGGAGAGCTGAAGAGATCGTACGAAACGATGAGGCAGGAAGCGGAGGTTCGCTCGTGATTTAACTCTCGTTTAGTAAAATCCCGTAGTTCCTTATCGATTATTCGTGTCGCCTGAACATCGCCACTGAAAATCTCTCGGCTTAATCGACTAGTGCGATCTAAGGACGAGACCACTAACGGCAACTCTCCACGAGAAGCCCGAGAGATTCGTCTCGAATACGTAATCTCCGAAAGGGAGCACAAGGACAAGCGAAGTGGAGTTCTCAAGCTCGGCCATTTTTAGTAACAATCATCATCTCGATAACAAATTAATTTACATTGTTTAGCGGAACGTAAATTGCGAGTGAGTAGAAATATAAATAAGGATTTGTCAAAAAATGATTAGAAATTACGAAATTAATTTTCTCGAAAATTTTTTCGCCAGCAATTATGCGTTTTATTCTGCAGAGCTTGTTATTTGTATTGAAAAAAAAATGAAGGAAAGATACATCCGTAATTTTACGGACGACAGGAGCGACGGAAGGGGGGGGGGAGGGTTAAACGGAGGCGTCCTCGTCGTTGTGCTTTCCACATTCCAACTGTGCAATTTATTATTGTGCTACGATTGTGGACGATGCAGTCGGTCGCAACTGCGCGATCCCTCTGACCGAGGCGACGGTAATTTAACTGAAGCCTAGCGTGCGCCCGTGCACGCGCGCGCGCGCGTTTGCAGTCGCGACACGACGTGGGTAATCGCTTTGATTCCGCGAATGAGAACGGATGTTAGGAAACGCTCTTGCGTTGTAAAAAAGTAGAAACTAAAAAGTTGTATCTTCCTGTCGCGGCGATACCGATCGGATTCACGGTGAAATTCATTAATGCGATGCGTTTTGTTATCGAAACGGACAATTCGCTTCTTTTGCGCGCGTCGTCGGAATTAGTCGGCAAATTTCTTCGTCTCACTCAAAAAAATATTTCGCTGATGTAGTTAGATTTCTAGATATCGCAACAAGAATGTATCGCTATTTTTCGTATCTGTGAAAACATTGTTTGTCACATATAGAATTTATAGCAGTAATGTTCTAGCAATAGCTTCTGAAAAATTTAGGTACTATTGCTAAATGTTATTCATTGCATGATCTAACACGTGATTGATCTTATATAGATAGGCGCTTTAGAGAAACTTTCTTTTTAAAGTTCACAAACAATACAGATATATATTCTGTTTCTGTCATCTAAACTGATTAAGTAATTACATATGCAATATCACAACAG